TAGGGACAACCAAACGTATTTTAATACGACATTACAGAATATGTTGGTGAAATTTGAGAACAATTACAAAATATCCACTAATTTATACGAATATTCGTCAAGATTAGAACGAATAGTTTGACAGTAATTGAGCGCCGAGTATAGAGAAGTCATTATATGTGAAAATTATATTTGAAATATTCTCAGCGATTGAAGTATAACTAATTCCAACGTTTCGTCCAGCTAACTTGTCTGGATTTCTTCAGGGTAATAATCAAAATCAAAATTATCAAAGAAATATATAGCTTTCAACAATCAGGATTATACTGTGTTAAACCAACCATAAGGACGAAACGTTGGAATTAGTTATATTTCAATCGCTGAGAATATTTCAAATATAATTTTCACATATAATGACTTATCCACTAATTGTCTCATACCTTGTTATTTCTTCGTTTCCACACCAATCATGCTCTGTTCTCGTTCTCTTGTCTTAGATTTTTTCAACCTTCTACCACTAAGCATTTCCTTATCGATTAAGGATACATATTTCTTATGTCTGTTAACATCAGTAGCACACATCACGAAAGTGCGTCAGAAAAATATTGAGAATTCAGGTAGTATTGATTGATGGAAAACACTCGATATTCAAACTTTATCTGTTTTAGTTTGAGCAGTCAATCATATCACTAATCCTCAAAAATAAAATGTCGTTCAAAGTTGAATACACTAAATTATGTCTGTTAACCTAGGTTCACTACTTAATTATTCTTATTTGTGCTTTGTCAGAAGACACCGACATATGTATATTGCTTCGGTAAATTCACTTATCATTCATTATTATAATAGAAATCAAAGGGAGGTAGAACTTTTTTCACTTTTCTGCGGAAAAAACATAAACGTAGTTAATTTACAAAAACGGATCGTGTGTATACAAATGGGTTTTCATAATTAAATTCATAACTTTTAAAGTATTATGTATACTTTATCATACCGGAAATGATCTGTTATGTAACACCATACAGTGATAGTTTGCGAAGCTGAACAGTAGTTGCTGGTCTACAATTTCATCATAGGTAACTCTGTGTAGTAAAATGACAAGCATTTCCATTTTGCAAGAGAAGAAAGTAAGGGCAAATTTTGAAGATTATTTACATGCGAGAACAGCTGTCTTCTAGATCGTGATAACACGATCTTAGTTACTAACCAAAACTAAATTTACTATGGGCGACAAAAAGAGTTGCAAATATTTTAAAAGCTTTTATTTTTATTTCCAATCCCATCTTGGTGAGAAAGAATAATGACTGTTTCAAAGAGGACCAGACGTTTTCGCACAAAATATTAGTGGGTAAAATATATTCGAATATATGAATTAGTCAGATTCAGTACAAAAGGTTTACCTAGTCTACAAATTCTTGGCTTTAATACCTTGATTTGCAAATTAAATTTCAACAAGTTCTAATTGAGATCACGAAACGATCAGACCTTCATTAAAACCTGAAAGTACTGGACGGTCGTTTCGTCTCATTGTAGTACTTTCCATCTCTACGAATTCACTTGAACCCAAAATCTTCGGTATTGCGTGCGAACGACTAACCCCTAGAAACTGAGCCCGCTTCATGGATGCGCACTACTGAGTAGTCCAGGTTTTCACTGGGGTTCTAAAATTGATCGATTCCTTATCTCCATTAAAACTCTACAATCTCCACGACCCTACACTGATAAGTTTTGACCTGTTGGTTCGACTCTAATGATTTCAGAAATATGTAATGCATTATTGGTTATGACGCTAATTTTCACCGCTTTTATTTCGTTCCATTTCTAAACCAGGTTATACATAAGTAAAATAACATAAACCGTAATATTGTAGTAGTTTTAACGATTAGTTAATCAATAAAACAATAACCGAATAATAGGTTATAATGATCTTTTAAGTGGATACAAGTCTTTTTCGTTATTAGTTTTTTAAAGATTTATGTAATTTTTTGAAAACAGATTCCAACGATAGGTTCACATATTTAACCGGAATTACCGATGATGGTTCTCATTTGTCTGACAGTTTTAGGCCATCTGCTTTCAGAAATATCGTATCAGTTATTCCAGCGGAATTGAGACAAAATTTTCGTTTAAATAAAGAGTACATATATTATCCTTAACAACATATGTATTTCGTAAAGATCAAATTTGATAACGTAGAGAAAGAAACTGATTAAAATAAACTATATCGACAACCCGAAACATCGATAATTTTCTAGATTATGCTAGAGAAAACAAAATTGACGACAACAATAACAATCACAGTAGGTGATGTTTATATTAGAATGTAGTTTTGCAAAAACTAATGCTTTGATGCAAACTTTAATTTGATTTCACTGAACATAGAGATAGAAAGCTACCTTTTTACTGGTAAGATAATTATTCCTTTTCTAGAATTCATGCAAAAATAGGTTTGAGTCACATAGAACTTATTTAATCAATTATAGACATAATGGTTAATTAGCAACATTTCCGTTCCTTGAGACTAATAAAGTTCATCCTTGAAATGAATTATATTTACTGTTTTCTTTAGTTAACATTGCCAATATTTTGAAGGATAAAATCTAAAAAGTGCTATTTCTAGTACTATAATTAGTTTGATGTTATTTGTCAGTAATTAATATTAAGTGTCATTCAAAAACATTATTATTAGTTTCATATAATTTGAAGAAATGCTTAAAATAAGTAAACTTTTTTTACACGGCAACTTATTTGCTAATTACAGTTTTGTGTGTACATCTTCGAGTCACAACTTTTGTGGTTGATGATTAATAGTGATATTACTCAAATCTGGATAGATCTTAGCAGATGATTGGCGTTTTGAAACTGAATATTGATAATAAAAATGTCAAATGTTTTAGGCATTTAGGCATATGTCTAATTTTCCCAAAGACAGAATTAGTTTTATTACTTATACTTTTTTAGTTCTGTTTTTATCAATGAAGAACTACTCATTCCTTGCATTTCTAGGCTTTTATAAGAAGAACTTCAACAAGTCGTCAGTAAAAAATCTATTGATAACTTTCTCTTTAAACGCTATTTTTCTGATTATTAATCTCATTAAATTTCATTTGACCCATAAGGTAGTTTGTATAAACATTAAACAGCAGTATTTTCAATACTAATAGTTTTATTGTTGAATTCATTAGTCGATCAAAGCTAGACCACCACTAAAAATTTGGAAGTACTGTACGGTTGTTTCGTCCTAGTATTGAATTTTTCAGCAGTGCGCATTCACAATCCTGCGCACCAACGCCTAACCTCATAACCATTAAGCCGGCATCCAACGCTGTTAATGCCTAACTTCTATCGATCGATGACCTTGCGCAACCATTCATCCACTGTCTGAGGTGGATAACTGTCTAAGAAATGACACGGATTGTACTCCACTGTTCACAGCTTCTTACTAGATCTCCATGAAATTGATGTTAAAGCTATTTACTAGTGAGCACATGATTATTACCAGTGTGGGGTTTTGAATTCACGATCCGATCCAAGCTATACCACCATTCAAAACTTGGAAGCATTCACCCTAGTATGTGACAGTGCGCATCCACACCCATTATTAGGAAAAAAGCGGCCGTTCAGTGTTTCTAGGCTTTTAACAGTGGCCTAGCTTAGATCGACTAGTGAATTCAACTATTAAAATTACTACAATCTCCACAAATTCCCATCCTGAAAAAACTATTTATAATTCCACATTGATAAAATCGATTTCTTTCGTTATTTTAACTGTGCCTGTTGTTTTCAACCTTGATGTTTCTCATCAGCTCACAATAAACGAAAAACCCATCTCGAATAAAATTAATACTTCATTTTATTTAAGGGATATTAATTAGTGATTACATGCGCGAAAAATGTTTTTTTTGTCAGTTTATGCTTGATAATATCATTCATCGTTTAAGAAAATAAAAAAAAGTACTTGTTGAAGCCCCTATGCTTTTAAAGTGTAGCAGTGAACTTGTATTTAGTAAATCTAAACTAATGGATCTACAAAACGTTCCCCACTGTATATAACTTGTGGCTAACTCTAACTATAATTTTTTTATTTACCTATCTGTTTGATCAGATTTACAATTTTTTCCAGTTATCATCCTCTAGATTAACCATATTGATTGGCTAAGGGTATCTATAGAGAAGTACTTCTAGATATTCAGGTTACGCTTTTCAAAACAACGTTATGAATAAATATTCATTTCAACCAGAATGTTATTAATTATTGATTAGAGATGTTGTGGAGTGCGATTTTAATATGGATATCTAACTTAAATGAGTTCTTTGTACTTTTCAGACAATTATATTTCTGCGACAAACTGAAGTAAACCTTTGAACATTTACCAAGATAAATTCATACCTCAGCTCATAATTTTGTCTGAAGAGTAGTTTACACGTCTGACGCATAGTAACATACCTTTGTTATGGTAATAATTTACTAATTAATAACCGCTATGACTCTATAATAAAGTATTTTCAAAACAGATCATACTACGTATTTTGGAGATGAAATATTCTTACCAAACAAATAAGATACCTATTTTTTTTAAACAACAGTTTGTATTTTGATAATGAGTTCTAATTTACCTTTAGCCAAAGCATTGTATATTGAAAAATAGCAAAATCATTAATGATTCCTGGTAAACGTTATGTATAAGATTTCATGTTTTATAACTTCTATGGTTCAAGTAAAGTATACAGGGTACATCATCTAATTGACTGATAAATTGCCCATAAGAAAAACAAGACTGCGAGAGTTTCAGTATAATTGATATACAAGTAAACAAAGTTACTAAAAATTATCCCATTGGTTTTCCGAATGGTGTGACCATGAGTAATTTAAGACCAAATACCATTTTGGTAAGTTGGTTTTACTGTGATTACGAAATTCGATATAAATGATTTCAAAACAATTTTCTAATCACCGGAAAGAAAATCAAATATTACACAATGTATTTAATCAACGTAAATATATTTACACTAGAACTTACTCATTCGTGAACCAATCGTTCTTCAAATCAATGAATAAATGTAAATTTTTGCTATGAATGCTAAGTTATGCACTGAGTTCACAATTACCTGACGATCACCTTGTATACGAAATAACGTGACAGGTGCAATTCAGTTTTCTGACGATATGAATGGTGAACTTTCTAATGTTAGGAAAATAAAATAATCGCCCAAAAAATAGACCTGAAAATAGAAAAACATCTTAAATGAGTAATAAGTGATTTACTTTCATAATGTAGTGCAAACGTAACCAACATATTGGATAAGCTTGAGTGAATAAATATATTTACCATTATCGACTATAAATTTGCCAAAGTCTTTACCTCAATTCAAGTTTATCTCAATAAATCAGATGAAAAGAGATGACTATCCGATAAAAATGAGTAAATAAACAGTCGTTTCGTGTTCAAACTGCTAAATATTGACTCATCACTGGGTTAAACTACAATAGATCATTAGTGTAACTACATTTCTCAGTATGGATTAAAGCAATTCATAAACCAAGCATTTTGAAAGTTTTACACGGAGATTAAGTTTGACGGGGCTGAAAGTTGTTTAATCTTTGATGTATTACCTGCCACTTATATATTTGTTGGAAACGTCTTGTTTTTATATCTTCCAATAAATACACCCTGAAATCAACTCTAAATATAAAATACTGTACTATTATGACAATAGAATTTACAGCTTAGATTAATGCATTTTGAAGAAACTGTACATATCAGGGATTTATACACATTCTTTGTTTTTAGATAATAACCGTGGTCAAGACACATGAATATCGCTATAGTTTTAATAAGAACATAAACGTCATGAGTGAGAAGGTAAGATGCTATTCACACCCCTATCTTAAATCTGCCCTTAATGAGAGGCAAGATGAACTCCCAGCTCTTTACGTTATAAAATGCGCGTTACATGTGTATCTGCAATACACTCTTCCAGGACCAATGCAATCTGTGGCATACATTTAGGCGTAGATATTAGTATTTGGGAAGATAGTATGTTCTCTAATTCCATATTTTTATACATGCTGTTCCGCTTGTGCTTTAATAAAATATGAAAATTATACATCAAGCACTTAATCTGAACATATTCCTTAAGTTGTCATATCATTCTTTCAATCTCGTTGTCACTCCGATTGCTTTCTGTTTCCCTCCTTCTTCTCTTTATCTCAATCTTTTATTGATGAGCATTATACTTCCTGTTCCTACTACATATTACTTATAACTGTCCACATAAGAGGCACACATCAAACAAACACATATTGCATGCAAACATGGAACAGACAGATTTAACCAGCTCATTTAATCCATAGTATACAAATCGACATAGATGGGTTCGTGTATCTGGAACGAGTAGAAAACCGATTAATACTAAACTATGTTTGGGTAGTAGATAAAGCTAATCTCCATCGACCGCTCATATTCATTTATAGGACACAATTTCGCTATTTCTCGCACACCATCAAGGTATGGGTCCGATTTCGCTCGGGTAAGCCAAGGTTTGTTGACTAATGTAGTTAGTAATATCCCACGAAATGTAAATTATAAATACTTGAATATCAAATAATGATCGGGTGACAGTAAATGTGAGTTGAGATTTGCCGTGATCGAGTGTAATTTTGATGAGTACATCAACCGAAACCTTTAGTATTTAACAATATTTTTAGCTGAAATATGGTATAAAATTTTTACGTAATGGAATCTTAGGAGTCTTGTTAGATGTCTATGAAGTTAAGAACTTGATTTTAAAACACAGTTATGTGTATCTTAATATGATTGGAATATTTCAGCGATTAACTTGATTTTAGCCAACTGTAAAATTTATCAACCAAAATTAATGGGGTCATATTGGTAATCGGACTTGTGGGATTGATAATCGCTAGAGATCAGGTGCACAGTGAATAAGAACCATTTCAGAGTCAATAACAACATTATAACCACAAAAATCAATTTGCCTATATTCACTTTACTACTTGTTATACTGTATTCTAGAGTTGATTCTTGATATAATTAAGGTGTGAATTCGGCACTGAATAACACTGCTCTTGAGTACAAACAATCAGTCAATAGTCAGTGAGGTGTACTTAGTATACATCACTTTAAAAATTTATTCACTAGTCCACATTATTAGAGACAATCACAAAACAAAAGTTAGTTCATGATGCTCTTAACAAAACAACAAGCATAATGTTTATTATCTTATTTGTGTTTTGCCACACCACTGAAATCAAAATTGTGTTAGTAAAATCAACATCAAGTTCATAAATAATCTATGAACGATATTACAATTGTGACAGAAAATTTTTTAAAAATTTAACTGACGGTCTAACTAAAGAGCTTTCTGCAGTAGATATTTTGTTCGTGTTTTGCTCTTTTACTCGTAAATACCTTTTATCTCTTATAAAAACTTGATTGAAATAAAGAATATTGTTTTCAAATTCTCATCTTAGCGAAAATGAAAGAAACAAAACATCGTTTTAAATATAATCGAGTTATTGTAGTTATAGTTTTTTTAAATCATATATCTTAAGAAGAATTATTAAATTAGGTATATACTTTACTAAGAAATACTTGATAGTTTCTTCAAAATAAGTAGACTAAGTAGTATTAATCTTTTGTTGTGCACGTTTTTGCTAAGTGCATATGTTAGCTAACTATATGAATTAATTTCAAAATATGTTTAGTAATATAATTAGCTATCATCTAAATGTACACCTCAAGGGACTAAAATAATTCCTACTGTAACAAATGAAAACTCTAGTGAGGCAAAGTAACTTACTATTTTATGAAAAACTACATAGTGGCTTGGTGAAATATGAAAACCATGTATTCAATACTTTATTTGAACATCTTCCATCAGTTGTCCTTTACATGCTTCACGATTCCTCACATCTGTTGTTACTATAACTGTTCCCCGTTACTCTACCTGTTCTCTTTAATTCAATATCCAGCTGGTAGCCAATCCACTTGCGATTGGTGTTACATACTACTTATATCTGTCAGTATAAGTGGCAAACATCAATCTATGAAGCCGTCAACGGATGGGAAAAGATATATAATATACATAAACATCTTGGTTGGGATTCATGAGATTATCACAATCTTTAATTAAAGTCTTTCTATAATGTAGCTCCAAACTGATCTCACTAGTGCAAGTGCATTCAGTGCTCATCTTTGCATAAAACTTGAATTTTTTATCACTTTTTGCATTAGACTTTTTTACGTAACATGTCTTTTTAGTTTTTGGTAACAGGGATATCGTTATTTCATTACTTTGATTCCTTTTTAGTGTATTGTTGTAATGTGTGGCGATTTAAGTCAGTTCATACATTTTGCATTAGACTTTTTTACGTAACATGTCTTTTTAGCTTTTGGTAACAGGGATATCGTTATTTCATTACTTTGATTCCTTTTTAGTGTATTGTTGTAATGTATGGCGATTTAAGTCAGTTCATACTGGTGTTCATGTTTGACAAACCGAGTATCATATATTGCAGTTAAAACGAATATATATATATTTCTAAACTGTCAATCGTTCATTTATCATAGTGAATAATTAGGTGACTTGATAAACCACTGAAAGAAAATCATTAAAAATTACAGGTTACGCGTACGTTAGACATCCATAGATGATCCTGCAGTGTTATCGTAAACGTTATATCACTAGTGACCTAATTTTCCTTGAGACAAATCTTTAGTTCATAAACAAGAAATCTAACAAATTTCAACATGCGGATTCGACAACAGTGAATTGGTATGTAGAAATCCTGTTCAAGATATTTCTATATCGTTTAACCCAGTGAAAACCTCAGAAAGTTAATTCATTATGCAAAGCACAACAGATGGATATGACCGTGGATTTGAATTATTGTGTTGGGGATTTTACGGTTATTTAATGACATTTTATGTGTAAAAAGTACTGACAACGGTATGTCTCAGGAATGATCTGAGCTATTTTATTAAAAACAACCGTTTTGGGGCGTGTAAAAACTGTTAAAAAATTAACGATTGTGATCCTCAATTTGGTAATCCTTGATATACAATGATTTTTTACGATAAACTATGTTTTGCGTCATCGGTATTCTATTTAATGTATTTCTGTATCATGTAAGATTTAAGGAAGTAGAACAAACAGACGTGTATTTACTCACAGGTCGTAAAAATGCAATCATGAGAGATTCTGAAACCGGTCACTTATCTCTAACATATTTTAGTTCTATTCAATTGTGCATATATCGCTATGGATTTTAGTATGTTATGGTGAAATTAAAATGTCATTATTTACTGAGCGTCGACAAACATGTTCTTAGCCTACTGACTGCCAAATATGTTATTTTTATTCCTGTCATCGACTTCTACCCTGGTCTCACCGTGACTGCTTGTCTGTAATTGTACTGAATATAATATCACTTAGCATGTACTCTGGTTCTCTATTCTGGGTCATGAATTCTGATTCTGATATGACGTGACTAGCCCCATTATCGTATTGACGCATTATTATAGGATAATAATATTTTAAGCGATTTGTTATGTCAAGTTTGTTAACTTTTGGTATTCTGCCTTTTCAAAAACGTCTAATACGAAAACACACTTGACATTGGTCGATGTTAAAGTTGGAAAACATCAGGCAAAGTGAAAATAATTATTAAATATTGACATATCCATTACAACTATATATTGCAGAAGCACTTTATTTAGGTACATGTATAAACTTCAGGTAATAAATCAAAGAAGGCCTATGAATTATGATTTTAATACATGAAGATTAAGTTATGCTGTAGAACAAAGAATAGTAATTAAAACAGGTTTTCTCAAACTTATGCGGTCAGTTGAACGAATTAGTCAGTCATACGGAGCATTAAATCTGGTATATATGTAGGTCAGTTAAGGTTACCACACCACGTCAAATCAAGATGAAATTATCGAGAAAAACGCTAAATCAGAGAATGTAGTAACGCTATTCTAAAATACTATATTCTAGCCATGTGCATGTTGAACTGTTGTCTCCACAATTTTATGGTGTATATCAAAGTTATCTCATGCACTCAGTTTAATGATACACTGTATCAACGATACTCATGGATGAAATATTTGAACTAATATATTCGTAAGTCAAAAACGTTCAAACCTATCGTTTTCTAACTATGTGAGTCTTATGTCGTCAAAGTTTTTTATACCAGGTTACTTAGAAAACATAACATTAGAATCAAACTAAAGTGTGACATTGTTTTGGTGGGATCATAGCTAGTATAATCCAACGGAGAAATACTACCGGTCTTCGAGTTACCTCACTGATATAGAAATAAAACTAAATGATGAACTTCAGATAATATTCAAGTACTAACCAGTTAAACAAGATGTTTTTGAGTACAGTGAGTGTATGGTCCAGCAATTAATACACAATTAGGAAGTGGTAAAGTAAAAATAATTTTGTAGCGGGGAAACAAATATATAAGGTCTGTGAATTGTCGTTCATTGTGAAACAATAAGTTCAACTAGTACACCGTAGGTCGCAGTGCAAAATACACAAAACTTATCAGTTGATAAGATTACTGAAAGTATTGTTGCTTCTGTCTTAAATGTCTAGTTTGTATAAGAGCGTAATGGCTATCAAGAATGACAATCTTTTCTATGTAGTGAAATCCTTTTGGAATGTCTTGCTTCAATTTGTGTGAAAGAGTCCACCTTAGTGAATGATTTGTACGCATGACATAAAAAGATGAAACATATCATCATTAAGCACCAGAACTGAGCTGCCAGTTGTATATTGGGAAAAAGGCTACTTACCAAAATTTGTGATTTTGTGAATTCAGTGTATAAGCAGATATTAAAACCATTTGAGTCCATAAGAATGTAAGTCCTATTGAGCAATTGATGATTCCAATTTTTTACTATAGGTATTGCTGACACTACTGTTCCATCACACTTGCGTAATGTTTTGAAGAGACACATGGTCAAATACTTAAAATGCCTAAAATACTTTCGTCTTTATAAGGTGCGTTACACAGTACATTGATGCCAATTATGCCTTCATTTATGTAGTTCAACAGAAATCTTATTCTATACAGAAAAAGATATAGTTCTTTAAACACAAAGGGAAGTTTTACACCCGTGGCCGGATCTCTTTAGTTATTAACGCTTATATCTGGAGAGCTACCGAATAGACTGATTCTGCAGCTTGTGATATTAGTCACTACCATAGATACTTTGATTGATGCTAACTCATGCTTTGATTAACGTTACTAACGACCCAAAATATTCTATGATAACTACACTTTGTTATTTGCAAATTGGAACAGGTGATGGGCTTCCAACTGTTTATTTTTCGCATACCGATATGGAGTTTCTCATGTATTTTCATTGCAGAATTTATTCCACATTGCATAACATTCTCGTGTGGTGAGTAGATTGTGTCGGAAATGATATGACATCATATGTTCAGGAAACTGGGGTTGGTTTCAAGCCCAGTTAATTCAGGAAATTAGAAAGATCAAGTATAGTAGATAAGATAACTTTTTAGCATAAAACAGTCGGTATTAAATTCAAATATCCTGGGATATTCATTACACCCTCAATATTCTAAAACTATATGAATTAATGGCTGAGCGTATCAAGAGAACCAAATTTCTTTTTTAAAGTTACTCTCTAAAACAAAAATTTAATATTGTGAACAAACAAAGATAAAGGAACGTGATCATTCACACTTGGGATATATTAAGTGCTACGAATGAACCAGTCTTCATCAATGGAAACAATAGATCAAGTAACCTGCTTTTGTCTTGGCAGCAGATAGTCTAGATATCGTTTTACTTGTTCATAGGTTTCCATGTCAAACACCTGTTTAAGATTTCCTTTCAGAGCCACTTAAGTAGCATTCGCTAACCGCAAACCATGATTGGAATTCTATAAATAAGAAAGATACTAAGACATATTCTATATCTGAAAAGTGGAGTGAGTGACCGATTTCAAGTTTATGCATTTGTATATGTTTAATCTGCCTAGTCTCAAACTCAAATAGAAGAGACATAAATATAATTCTTCATAACTTGAGCGTTTTAATTTTTGAACTAAAATGAGTGCAACCCTGTTGAGTTAAATGAAATCATTTTGAATAACTTGTAGTTTTAGGAACAACATATACTGGAAATTATCAGTTTCGTATTAACCAAGCTTGACTCCGAGCCTATGGTAGTGCCCAAACGACAACGACCTCATCGGTTATGCTTACTTTTTTCCCTTGAAATGCTGCAGACTACGGTTAAAAACTTGCACAAAAATGACTGAAACATTTAGTTTGGCATCGTCAAATGACATTATAAACCAACATAAACGGTTTTATCGATCCATAATTTAATAAAATTAGTATATTTTGTTTTCAAAAGTTCGAATAAAAGTATGGATTAAGCGGTTTTATTCCTGATTTCATGGGAATGCATCGCTCGTTCAGATCATCATAATAAGAACAAACCCTGAAAGTCGAATAGTACAAGAAATGTTTTCAAACAAACTAACTATTCCAGTTATTAAGCAAAACTTTATGAAAAAACGGAGTCCTTCCTGTTTACAGTGAAATAAACTTTAAATACAATGCTAACCTTTATGAATGAGTGTAAACTTGTTGGAAAGTATGAAAACGCGCCACACATTTCATCATTTGAAAGCGCATTTAAAGATCAGTCTTCAGTAATAAGGAGAGTATGTTGGTGAACACATGTTAATCCTGGTAGATTGCCTCCGAGTGAAGGCCCATCTTCTCACTGAAAATATTCTTGCTGGGGCTGATTCGGGTAAGGCATTCCGGTTTGTGAACCATCTTGCTGTGACCTCGGAGATCATTAGAGCTGGAGGGAGCAAAAAAAATCAGACATATTAACCCTCGAATCACAATTAAGGATATGAAATGGCAGTACAAGGTAACCCCCCGTCCTGCGATAAGACAAGGGGATCAAACTCTATAGGTCGAGGCTGATGATCCAATTCTTTATATGAGGCTATTTCTATGTCATGAGGAAGATCGTTCATTATCTTATGTCATCCGAATAATTGTAAAAGCCACTATTTCACAGTAACTTGCTGAACATATATTACTGTTTTGTATTCTCTAATATGGATGAATGAGGTGGCAATAAGTCCAAACGGACTTTGATATCCTTTAAAACATATTACAGTAAATGTATGCTCCCCTACAACAGAAAAAGCATTAAATGACTTAACAGTATCATTCACTTTTGCTTCTAATTCATTAAGATTTTATGTTTTGAGATCAAACTTTTTAAATGTTAGATAAGCTGTCTTCTAAAATATCTCCACGTCCTCTGAACACGGTGGTTATTAGTGGTCTGGTTCATGATTCAACTACCTATACTGATGAAGATTCAAAGAGTTTGCAGTGAACTCGCCATTTACTCTAGCATCCGGTGTCTAACATTGACATTAGTCATTCAAATATCTTGTAATGGTTGGCACTGTATCAAACCCACACATGTAAGTTTAGATTCTGGACAGACCAGTTTTTCTACATTTCCATAAAGTCACATTTTGACCTTATCGCATACTCACTTACTAACCCGGACTTTTTCATATGATTGTGTCTGTGTTAACTGCTTACCCTACTCGCCACGCGTCGGTAACTTATTTTAAGTTTGACTTTAAATATTGAGTAACGTTTGGTTGTGATGATGTCACAGGTATTCAGTGTTTGACAACGCTTCTACTAGTACCACCTTCTAATGTATTTCGTTCCCACCCAGAGAAATCAAAAGACAGAGTCGAGGAGATCGGAAGAGTATATTTGGCGTTGACCAATATATCGGAATTCTCTGATCTAATCTGGCTAGCGATTGCGGTTGATGTTGAGCACGGCGTTACCACACGTGATCTGGTGCGGATGCATGACCGAGCGCCTTCAGTTAGATGAGTCCACTAAAACATATGGTCAGCATCCAATGTCGAAAACTTACAGAGCTATTTAGTTTGGGGATTTATTTACCGCTACAGATCACTCCCCCCCTAGTGGGGCAGTGACGACCCTAAGACGTGGCCAGCCAGAAGTTTAAACCCAACGAGTTTGTCGTTGGTAAACACTCTTCTGATAGCTTACTAAATTTAGCAGCGTCTGGTCGTCTTTCCTTACTATATGGGACCGAGGTACAACATAGTAAAAAAAGAAAATGTACAATGAAAATTTCGGATCCTCATAAACGTCATCGTTCTTTTCCAGCCGTCCTGGTAAAGAAAAAAGAAAGTGTAAGTGCATGTCGAAATACACTCGTATGTGCGTAAAAACACAAAGTCGGCGGAAAAAATGGAAAATAAACTCATGAACACGTAATAGCGTTAAAAAAATTGTTTTTTTTGTTTTGTTTTTTTTTAAATAGAAATAAAAATATATTAGCATATTAAAATTTTTTTTTTTAAAAATAACATAAAATGTCGAGAAGTGCCTTACGTGCAATAGTCGTTTAAATGTTCTGGAAATCTCAAGCCTCTTCCAGAACGCGTCGTTTTAAGTTTATTTTCGGATACTGTCGAAGTATCATCGTGTGTGTTGGTTCTCGGATGAGGTATTATAAGTGTCGGAGTCACGTTGTGCGATTGTACCGAAGGAAAGTCGACGTGAATAGGATTTCCTTCTAAATACGCTGCTTTTAAGCGACCGATGCTGATGCTATCGTTGGTTCCGTTCTTATCGACTATATAGTACTTAGATTCACGTTGAAGAACTTTGAAGGGTCCTTCGTATGCTGATTCAAATGGTCGTCGATGCGAGTCTCGACGAATGAAAACGTGTGTACTATATCGTAAGTCAGGTTGAACGAAAACATCAGTTGATTGAGGTCGAGTGGAAGCAGGTTTAACTGAACGCATTGCGTTTGTAAGCCTGTTCGTGTAGGAGGTTAGATCCATGTTCATTGAAGAGGATGAAGGATCCACGAGTTCTCCTGGAAGTCGAAGTGTCGTTCCATAAACGAGTTGAGCCGCAGTGTATCCAATGTCAGCTTTCACTGCATTGCGGATACCTAGTAAGACGAGTGAAAGAGCGTCGGTCCACTGTGAAACGTTTGCAGCTGATAGCGAAGCTTTCAGTTGTCGGTGAAAACGTTCTACCAACCCGTTTGCTTGTGGATGGTGGGCGGTCGTTCGGAAGCGAGTGATTCCTAAAAGTGTGGTCAGACGACGGAAAAGTTCAGATTCAAACTGACGTCCGCGGTCTGTGGTGATTGTTGAAGGGCAACCGAAGTTCGCTACCCATCGTTCGACGAAGGTGCGAGCAACTGTTTCAGCAGTGATGTCCTTGATAGGTACTGCTTCTGGCCATCGAGTGAAATGGTCTACGCAGGTTAAGAGATAAGAGTATCCATTTGCATCTGGTAAAGGTCCTACCAAATCCAGATGAACATGGTCGAAACGAGCATCGGGAGTTTTAAATGAGCCTAAGGGACATTTATTGTGTCTGATAACCTTAGATTTTTGGCAGCTTACACAGGAGCGTGCCCACTCCCTCACGTCTTTATTCATGCCAGGCCAGCAAAACCGTTCTGCTATAAGCTTGATGGTTGCACGAATACCTGGATGCGAAAGTTTGTGCAATGTGTTGAAGACATTGCGTCGATAATGTTTCGGCACGGTTGGGCGATCCCTGCCTGTAGATGTGTCACAAAGTAAGGTTTCGTTACCTGTTCCCATCTGTTTGACGCGTAGTTTAAGGGTTGTGGACGATAACTCGTGCTGAAGATCACTGTCTTCTTTTTGAAGCTCGGCGAGTTTAAGAAGGTCGATTCCTTGGAAACTGTTCAAGGAAGTTATGCGAGATAAAGCGTCCGCAACTACATTGTTTGCTCCGGAGATGTGTTGAATATCTGAAGTAAACTGCGAAATGTAGTCCAGTTGTCGAGACTCACGGGGAGGATACTTGTCAGACGGAGAGCTTAACGAGAAAGTGAGCGGTTTATGGTCCGTGAAAAGAGTGAATTCACGACCTTCGATGTAGTGTTGAAAAAGTCGTACAGCATAATACATAGCTAGGAGTTCCCTACCGAATGTGCTGTACCTTGATTCGGTGTCTAGCAACCGTCTGGAGAAAAATGCTAATAGTTGCCAGGAGTTGTTAACCCATTGTTGTAAGACGCCACCGATTGCCGAGTCCGATGCGTCTACTGCGATACTAATGGGTGCTTCGGTGTCCTGATGTGCGAGCATTGTTGCTTTAGCGATCAGTTCCTTAACTGTGGAGAATGCTTTTCGTGCGGTGTCGTCCAAATTAATGGATTTCGCATTTCCACGAAGTTGGTCGGTCAGAGGTTTCATAAGTAATGCGCATTTCGGTATGAAACGTCTATAGAAACTTACGAGGCCATTAAACGTTCGTAATTGCTTGACGGTGGTTGGTTCTGGGTAATCCAGAATTGCCGCCACTTTGGTCCTAAGGGGTCAAATGCCTTGAGCATCGATAGTGTGTCCTAGGAAGTCTAACGAGTCGGTTCCGAATTGGCACTCCTGAACGTTTACAGAAATGCCATGTTGTTGTAGTCGTTCGAAAACAAGATCCAAATGCTTGAGATGCGATTCTCTGTCCGGACATGCAATTAAGCAGTCGTCAAAATACGCATGTACGAAGTTGAAACCTCGAAAAACGTCTTCTATGAATCTTTGGAATGTTTGAGCAGCATTTCTAGACCGAAAGGCATTCGCGAAAATTCGTAGAGTCCGAAGGGAGTTATGATAGCTGTTTTCGGTATGTCGTCAGTAGCCATAGGGATTTGGTTATACGCTTTAACCAAGTCGATTTTCGAAAAGACAGTTGTACCTTTCAAGGTAGCTGTCAAATCGTGAATGTGAGGCAACGGGTAACGATCGGGAATGGTTTTCGCGTTCAATCGCCGATAGTCACCAGTTGGACGCCAATCGTTGCTGTCCTTTTTAGGGACCATGTGCAACGGAGATGCATATGGGCTACTTGACGGTCGTATGATTCCTAAGTCCATCATGTGATCGAATTCGTTTTTCGCTAACCTTAGCTTTTCAGGAGCTAGTCGGCGTGCTTTAGAAAATACAGGTGGTCCTGTAGTCGTGATGTGATGTGTAACTTTGCTGGTTACACACGGTAGTTTCGTTTGAGTTTGTGGTATCTCAGGGTACTTATCGAGTAGTGGTTGATAGAGTGGGTCTATCATATGTTTAACTGTGACTGGGGATACTCTACAACCAGTAAAAGAAGTTACGCAAACGGACAAATTAGTGTTCCCGTCTACTAGCCTCCGTTTGCGAGTGTCGATGATCAGATTGTGGTGTTGTAGAAGGTCCATACCAATGATTGGCATAGAAACATCTGCAACAACGAAAATCCAGTGGATGGGTTTGCGTAAACCCACGTTAAGGTAAACGTACCTTTTGCCATACGTAGCGATCGGTTTTTCGTTTGCCGCCTGTAAGTTTAGGGTCGATTCCTGAAGCCGGTCGTTAGGATTTGCTGGGAGAACGCTAACTTCTGCGCCAGTGTCGACGAGGTAGCGAACTCTCGTTGTCACATCTGTGACGAATAACAGACGGCTTTGTTCGCCGGCTACGGTTGCCGTTAACACGTGCCGGC